TTGGTAAAGCCAATGAGGTTCTTGCACCACCAGCACTGGACCCATCTCAGAACCCAGCACACACAGATCCTCGCACACACAGATCCTCACACACACAGATCCTCACACACACAGATCCTCACACACACACACACAGGCAGGCAGACAGAGTGGTCGAGCTCAGCACAAACAAAGCCGCCCCCCCCCCGAGGGAGCACTGCCAGGCAGAACAGTCCTTGTTCAGAGCTGCGTCTGCAAAGTGCCCGTCGCTAAACAGAGACAAATGAAGCGGACTGGTCTGAGCGGTCAAGCAAGTGCATGCGTCTGAGCCAAGCATTTTAACAAGTATGGAGCTCTGATTTGCCAACTATCCCATATTTTATAAGTTCAGATTCAGCAAAACAATGGAGCGAAACCTGGTCATCCATTACTCAAGCCAGCAGGCCCCTGCTGCTACGACAATGAGGTCTGAGAAATGAAGAAAAAAAAAAAGATGCTTTATTAGCTGTTTGGACATGTACCAGTACCAGGGATTTGAACCAGAAACCTTCTGATCACAAGCACAGAGGACTGACCCACTGAGCTATACACGTGGTGAGGTCATCCACCGAATGGTACATCCATCATGGACTCCACACCTCAGCGACATGAAGATTAAGCAGCCAGTGCTTGCTGTTTGCAGATGTGTGCTTCCAAAGGCCTCAGCCTAGCCGATGTGGCAAACATCTGGCTTTGCAGCTGTATTGACCAGTGTCGTTCAAATGAACAGCTACGCAAACTTCCATCATCAATACAGTAAACTACCGAGCATCTCCTGTTTCCCACGCTGAGCTTGTGGAGCATGCTGGGACTGCGTTCAGGAGCACTCTGTGCGGAAAAATCGGCCTGCTATCCATATCCCTGGAGATGCTTCCCACATGATTTCCTTAATGTGCCTGAGCATGGCTGCAGGGTCTTCAATTTATTTACATTTCATCTTACATTTTTAACCTCATTCTTAAGATCTTTTTAACATCTTACATTTTTAACCTCTGAGGGCATCAGTCATAGCGTTCCCTTGTTTTCGCAAAGGACACACTCTTAAAACTCACCACGACACACCTGGTCTGCTGTCAAATCTCTAAATGGGCACACGTGGCTCACATCGCCCCCTATCTTCCCCCTGCCACACTACCCATGCAAAGTCCCGCTGTTTCATAACCTCCCTGCAAGTCACCCCCTGGGGGGAAGCGGCACTGCACCGTTCCCATGGATGCGTCACTGCGGCGGCCAATAGGCGTTCAGGGCGAGCTCTGTATGAAGCAGAGGGTGTTCAGATGGTACCTTCTGTGAAGGGGCTCTGTCCTGTCATGCTCCAGTCCGCCGGGCTCCATCCTACACGCGCCCCCCAGCCTGCTGCATTCCTGCCTCTCGCGAGCTCCACGGCGATCGCAGCTCTGAGAGCACACAGCCGGGACGTGGTGTGCCGCTAGCTCCGCCCCCCTCCCGACCTCCCTGCTCCCAGTCCGCTCCCTCCTCCCTCCCTCCCTGGGGCGCCCAGCAGATGATTCACGGCTCAGGGAGGGCTCGCCGCTCCGTGGCAGGAGAACCTGCACCGCTGGTTTATTTACAGCCAGACTCTGCAAGATGAGAGCACATGGCCCCACACAGAGCATGCTCATATTTACTACCCGGAACTCTCCATCAGGGACACAGCAAGCGGCCCGGCTGCTCCTAAAGATCAGTGCAAGCGATGAATGTCAAACACACCAAAACACGGAGGATCACATGCACCTCCCCAGCCAGGATGACTGAGCAATAAAGTTAAACTGCCTTCAAGCTGAAGGAAATACTCTCTAAAAAAAAAAGAAAACCTTAACGGGAAGTAACGAAGAAAGCAGTGAGAGATGTGGCGTGAACCCTAATAACCCCAAACAAATACAATCTGTTTTTGTGAGCCGCTCACATCACAAACATGACTCAGACGTCTCTTTTGTCTCCAAAAATGGGGACTTTGTTTCAGGCCCTGTCCATCTGTCCAATACAGTGATGTCAGTATGCTCAGACACACACACACACACACACACACACACACACACACACACACACACACA